TAGGACTTTCCATCAATATTGAGATGAATGATAACTGTTGCAAGGAGTAGTGTGGGTGAAAGAGTTGGTTAGGATGAAAATAATATTGCAGAGTGTGCAGGTAGAAGAGCTGCTAAGTCAGTTCTGTGGTTCTGTCTGTAGTTGTCAAGAACAGATCTGAATGATGATTGCAGTTCCCTAGCAATGCTGATACCTCTGGTAATATCTGGAATGTGTTGTCCTGGAAGACATTAATTTTTAAGTCACAAACTAGGTTAGATGTTTCTTTCAAAAATGATGTAACTGTAATTTCTAGTTATTGCTAGAAGTGATAGTTAATAAGTTTAATCAGCTGGCGATCATGGTGTTTGTTCATCATGGTCTTTTATATGATATCATTAAAGATTACATTTATAGCATTTATTCTAAGTAGTGAATAGGTTACAGAAGAGTGAAAATTTGGAGCAAGTAATTCAATCCATATGAAGCAGAAGGATAAACAAATGGAAAAAGCCATGAAATTTTATTTCAAAACCACCATTTTGAAATTCTGGGAGCTAGGTAAGGAGTTATGAGGACCAATAGTATTAATCATTTTTTTTGCCAAAATGTTGACTGTAGTAATGAAAGTTACTGTTCACGCACAGTTGTGTGGGATCATTCATACAGAGGAATAATTTTGTACAGGATGAAATAGATGGCCTCAACAGCTGTTGTAATGGAAACAGAATTTAATAGTTTAAAAAGAAGACTTAAAGAACACCTGTTTGAAGCAGCACAGAAAGAGAGGAAATGCACAAATTAGGAGATGATCTTTGTAAATTTGATATTCATGAACTTGTCAAATGTTGTAGTAGTTATCTCAGGTTATTTTCAAAAGAACTAAGTACATATGTCAGACTTTTTTTCCTTTTATAAGACAAATTGGAACAAACTTTTCCTGCAGTGTAGTCTGTGACTTTATTTGTCAGCATTCAAGAAAAATAAATTCAAATTAGAACAAGTGCAGAGTTGACTTAACTGGAGTGATTAGATAAGGGTCAGTTAATTTCATGAGGAGATTGAGAGCTTGGTTTGTTTAGTTCAGCACAGCTATGGTTGGCAAGAGTTCTGTATCTGTTGAAGGAAAGAAAGGTTTTTAAGGTAGAGAGTGATGTTAACCAAGATCAGATGAGCACAGGCTTAAGTGGAAATTAGAAGGTTTCAGGAAATTAGTATCTGAAATAGCCTTTAAAGGTAGATGATGCTTTTTGAAAGGGAGCTGGATGTGTTTTTAAGAGAAGTGATGCTGTATATGCTTGCAATATTGAAGGACTGGGCTCACTGATACGAAGGTTATATTCTGTCTTATGCTGTACCACGTTCCCTGTTGAAATTGTATTGTTTAATGCTTAACTCATGTACTCAAGTAAAGAAATGAGATTTTTTTATTTATTACCATATTTTAAAACATTTTTATAATTAATAATACTAACCTATTTTCTCACTTAACTGTTTAAGAAAACCCAAAATTTTACCGTTTATTTTCCTTCCAAGAATGATTTCATTTCTGTGCATGGAATAAACTAATTCAAATAATAGAAATAGTATGTCTTCTCCTGGAAGATCTACTGCCATCAGAATTCACCTAGTATTTCAGCAAGATCACTTTATCAATGATTAGCTCGTTCCTTTTGCCATTTAGTGATTCAATGTTCTCTAGATCTTTGACAGCCAATTTGTATTGCTTCAGTTCTTCACTTCTCTCTTCGTGAATTTTATAGTTGGCATGAGTGACAGCACGTTATTAAACATCCAGATCATACCAGCTTTTCTCTCTAGAAGTGAAGTATCTACCTTGGTGCTTTGTTTGAAAATACAGGCATGAAAATGAACTTAAGTGCCCGATCTGAAAATTTCTTTTTGCTTATGGAAATTTAGCTTTGTTCATGGGCATTGTTTTTTTTTTTACTGTTTGAGATTTGGAAAGAATCAGTAGCAGAAGAGTGCTCTATTCAGAGGTCCAGAAGTGAGTTTTGCCATTTCTGGTATTTTGTACTTGTCTGCTCAAAAGTCAGTAATGAGCAAAGTTACATATTCTGTTTGATGGAAAGTGAAGATTTGAGTGTATGAGTTATTGTCATCTTGGTGACATCTCAAATATTATGAATATCTGTCTAGTTACTCAAAATTTCTGAAGGATGAAAAGGTAGAAAGACTTAAAGTAATCACCAAATAGGCTTTTTGTTTTTGTTGAGACAGTTAATTCTTTTTCCAAGAATATGAATTTCTGCATTCATTTTTAAGAGGTCTACCATAGATGGTTAACTTAGTTACAGCTTCAGCAGTGGAGCAAAAATGCTATAGCTCCATCATTTCTAGTTTTTTAATGGGGCAGTACTGCATTGTTGAAACAGGTTCTTTCTAAAAATAAGGTCAGATCAAGTGGCTAGTGCAATTGGAGGCCACTGGAAGGGAACACTGATTATGTATGTATATAATTAAGTACCTTAACTGTTTGTTAGCTGATTGACACCACTTCAGCTTTACCACATGTTATGTTTTGTTCCTAATCCTCCATATTTTGGACTAAAAAAGTTTGGAATCTTTTTTTCTGAGTTGTTTTTAGTGCTTGTGTCAGTGAATTCTTTTTAAGGGGGATTTGGAATTGGTATCTGGAAGCTGCTCTTGGTGAGGGCTCTGTTTGATCTGCAGTGACTTCAGTTATCAAGAGCATTTTAAACTACAGGTTGTTCAGTCATTTCACTATGTTGTTTTCACAATGGTGGTGGCTGTGTTTTGTTGTCCAAAAGTTTTTGTTCACAGGTAGGTAGTAATGTAAATACTTTAGGCAAATATTCATGATTGTTCATGCATTATTGAAAGTGGTATGTAGTGGGTTGACCCTGGCTGGATGCCAAGTACCCTCTAAAACCACTCTCTCACTCTCCCTCTGCAACTGGACAGAGGAGAGAAAAAAATACAGCTAAGGATTCATCAGTTAAGAGCTGGGAGAGGTCAGTGACTGATTACCTTCACAGGGAAAACAGACTCATAGTGGGGATATTATTTAAATTTATTACTAACAGGATAGGAGCCAAAGAGTTAGGAAAAAAAAATCTTAAAAACACCTTCCCCTCACCCCTCCTTCCTTCCATGTTCTTCCTCCTCCCCCCCCAGTGGTGCAGGGGGACAGGGAATGGGGGTTACGGTCAGTTGTTGTTTCTGCTGCTGCTCAGAGAGAGGAGTCCTTCCCCTGCTCCCGTGGGGTCCCTCCTATGGGAGACAGTCCTTGATGGACCTCTCCAGCGTAAGTCTGTCCCACAGGCAACAGCTCTTCCCAAACTGCTGTCCCATGGGTCACTTCTCCATGGGGTGCAGTCCTTCACAAATGAGCCATACCAACATGGGTCTCCCACAGGGGCCACAAGTCCTACCCAGGAAAAACCTGCTCCAGTGTGGGCTTCCCTCTCCATGGTCTGCAGGTCTCCAGCAGGACCCTGCTCCAGCGTGGGTCTCCCACGGGGTCACAGCCTCCTTCAGGCATCCACCTGTTCCAGCAAGGGCTCCTCCATGGGCTGCAGGTGGGTCTCTGCATCCCGATGGTCCTCCATGGGCTGCAGGGGCACAGCTGCTCCACCATGGTCTGCACCACGGGCTGCAGGGGCCTCAGCTCTGGTGTCTGGAGCATCTCCTGCCCCTCCCTCTGCGTTGACCTTGATGTCTGCCTTGTTCCCATGTTCTCACTCTGCTCTTCCGTGGCTGGAATTCTTTCTGCGCCACAACCTTCTGTTCTTAAATATGTTATCACAGAGGTGTTACTATTGCTCTTGATTGGCTTGGCCTTGGCCAGCGGCAGCAAGTCCATCCTGGAGTCGGCTGGCATTGACTCCGCCGGACAGGGGAAGCTTCTAGCAGCTTCTAACAGAAGCCAACCCTGTAGTCCCCCTTCCGCTACCAAAACCCAGCCACAGAAACCCACTACATGGTATTAGTTAAAATTTGGCAGTGTGTAGGAAGATTTGAAGATAAAAATTATACGCTACCATTTAAATTTCGTAATTTTGTCTGGTCTTCTGTGATCACATACTCTTTGTGAAGGAGAAGAGAGGGATGTGCTTACACAATATTCCTCCTATTTAATGATTTATTTTCATATATTATGTTTCATATAATAATATGCATTTCAAGAGACTGATGGATAGTACAGAATCATAGAATGATTTGGGTGGGAAGGGATCATCAGCTAGATGATCTAGTTCCAACCCCCCTGCCATAGGCAGGGAAACCTTCCACTAGACCAGGTTGCTCAAAGATCCATCCAGCCTGGCCTTGAACACTTCCAATGATGGAGCACCCACAACTTCTCTAGGCAACCTGTTCCAGGTCTCACTACTCCTATTGTAAAAAAAGAAAGAAAAATTTCTCGCTCATGTCCAATACAAATCTTCTCCATTTCTGTTTAAAACAGTTGTCCCTTGTCCTGTCACTACAGTACTATTTATATATAGAAAGGCTGCACTAAGATCTCCCCAGTCCTTCTCTTCTCCAGGCTGCACAACCTCAGTTCTCACTGAGAGGTGCTCCAGCCCTCTGATGATCTTCATGGTCCTCCTTTGGACCCACCCCAGCAGGTTCATGTCCTTCTTGTGCTGGGGGCCCCAGAGCTGAATGCACTAGTTCAGGTCAGGTCTCATGAGAGCTGAGTAGAGGGGCAGACTCACATCCCTTGATCTGCTGCCCATGCTGCTTTAGATGCAGCCAAGGATTGCATTTCTGGGCTGCAGATGCACACCGCTGGCTCATATCCAATTTTTCATCCACTGGTGTCCCCAAGTCCTCAATCCCTTCATGCCACAGTCTGTATTGATACTGGAGATTGCTCCAACCCAGGTGCAGGACTCTGGGTTTTCACATAAGCAATATACGTTCTGTTTAAGTAAATAAAATCTTTAATCTGATTTGCGCTGAAAAATCCACACAATTATTGATATTTTTGTTTCAATAGTCTGAAAATTCACTTTAATCTCTTGTTTCCATAGGAAACATCTGTCGCTCTCCAATAGCTGAAGCAGTTTTTAGAAAACTTGTAACTGATGAAAAAGTTGAACATAAGGTAAGCTATTTATTTTTCTTCCTGCCTAAGAAATTACCGTCTTGTAGCCAGTTAGAATTGTAAGCAGTGAGAAAGGAAACTTAAAAATATAAATTTGTTTTTCTGTAGTGGAAGATAGACAGTGCAGCAACATCTACCTATGAAATAGGAAGCCCTCCTGACTATCGAGGACAGAATTGCATGAAGAAGCATGGCATTCCCATGAATCATATTGCCAGGCAGGTACTGTACTTTAATTTTCTTTAAATATGTGTATGTATTTGTTTTGTTGTTACAGTGGAGGACAGACAGTGCTGCTGTTTCAGACTGGAACGTGGGGCGCTCCCCAGATTCAAGGGCTTTAAGCTGTCTAAGAAATCATGGCATTGAGACAGCCCATAAAGCACGGCAGGTAGAAGAGAGTATATTTTCTTTTTTATTCATACCCATGCTTTGTTTAGCCCTAACCATTGCAATCACGGAAGTCATTTGACCAATGCATGGTTAAGCATCAAGTAATAAATACTATATGTAGTTTTTCAAAGGACTTCAAAGTGGCCTTATTTTTCTAGTTGAGCTTAGTGAGTTTCTTGTTACCAAACTTCATTGGAGGTATAACTAGGAAGCATTGGAGCAGTTTGCGCATTATGGAAAAATCTTGCCTTTAAATGTTTAGTATTTTGGGCATTTTTTAAATACTTTTTAAAAATGGATTTACTCTAGTAATCTGTGATGCATCCTTCAGCAAAAAATTGCATATTTATTTAACAAGTCCAAAAAGAAGTAGAATACCTGTTCATCTGTCACAGAAAGCTTCTGCTCTTGCATGAAGATCTTTTAAAAATATTTAGTGCTAAATTAGAATGAAAGCACTCAAACCCAAGATTAGTAGCACAGTTGGTGGTAACTTCAGAGGAAAACATACCCTTGAAGCATTCTTAAGGATAAGACAGGTTTGTCACTTAGTGAAATCCTCTAAGTTTTAACCAAAACTCATATCTGTTTTCATTAACAAAAGAACATGCATTTCCATGCTGCATTCCAGACAGATTGGAAGTAAATGTGTCTGCATCTATTTAAATAATTCAGACACTCAAATAAATGCACATAATTTACTTCAGTTAACTATTCTCTGGATATAAGATATTCCTTTAGGGCTTGACCTTTACTTAGTTTGAGTTTATGCCACTAGTTCTTGTACTGACAAAAAGATCAAGTAGTCTTGGTATTATCTTACATTTCTGTTCCCTTCAGAATTTTACTAGACCATACTGAGGTCATATTTACTTTCTTCATTTTCAAAGACCACATGTTTAGTTTTTTGACTTTTTAAAATAAATTCTCTCAATTAGTCAATTGCCCTCTACTGACCTCTCCTGATGTTAATCTCCCTTTATATAATAAACAGAATTAAGCCCAGCAACATTTCAGATTTTTCATTATTTTACTATTAGAATAATTACTAAAAAAGTCTGTTGTAATCTTTACCTGTTACAAGTTCTGGACTTACTATTTATCAGTGCTTGAAAACATCGTTATTTGGCAATATACAAGCTAAATGATACTGAAACTATTCAGCCAGTGTTTCAGTCACAGCAGTGTAAAATGTTTGTCTTCTTAGAAGATATGCCTTGGAAATTTAAGAACTGTTCTTGGATATTCCTAGAGTAGTTTGTGAGCAGTTAAACTAAAGCAAAGGACCCAAAATGAGTTGATCCTCTGCCTTGAAACGAATCTATATATCCTCCTTTGGCAGAGAGGGAATGGAAACACTTTAATGAAGACATTTGCTTATACATTCTGGCAAATGAAGAGATTCTTAAAGCAGAAGACCCTAAAATGTTACATATACAGGGAGAGAAAATTAACAAGAATGAGACAATAAAATGAAAGACTAACAGGATGAAAATTTGTCCAAAACATCCCAGTACAAGCAGTTTCTTTTATAAATTTAAAGAAAATCTTCAAATCCCTGAGCTGCAGGTAACTGTTCATTTTGCAGTGATGTTAACTATGTAACTCCAGTTTACTTTTTTTTCAAACTTCTGTCAAATGGTCTCTGTTGATTCTCTAAACTGTTATGGTCTTGTCGTACTTCTGAAGAGAGAGGGACTCAAGAGTGTAAAATAGGACTTTTCAGAGTGGTCAGATAAATACAAGTGGAACTGTATTTGTTTTAGAGACAAACTCAAGGATAGAATTTTGTGTGAGACTTGTTTCAGAACAGATTAAGGAAAATGTAATACAGAAGCTGCAGAAATAGAGAGCAGGGATTTACCTTTGTTGCCTTTGAAATACTGTCTTAAGATAAGTACCTCATACAATTATCCTCTTCACTCCTGTGGAATACTGGTACCCTCCCAGTGAAAGTCACTTTCTTTCATGTAATTTTGTGCATAATTATGATAATCATGGATTTTACCTTTTTTTAGTTCAAAACTACAAGAATGATTTATGTAAAAGGGAATGTTAAGTCGGTTGCATCCTACCATCATATGCAGTGATCTTTTAAGTGAAAGGTGAAGTATAAAAATAAATGTATATACAAAATAAAGAGTTGTTAACCTTTTAGCCGATGGTGGGCTGCTGTGTGTTTATGTACCCATTGCAGTTCTCTAAGCTCTTAGTCTTCATGCACAAACCAGATAAGTTTTAATCAGTTTCACTTTTATTCATGCTGAGGCCAAAATTGATTTTCCTATGACTCATACCGTGCATTTGCCTTAAATATGAAATTGAGATTAGAAGCAGGTTGTATTAAACACTGTTTCACAACTGGATAAATTTGAGGATTATTGCTTCTCTTGGGGTTTTAGACAGAGAAAATGAGATTTTCCTTCTGTAAATAAAGGGAAATGTTTAACAAATAAATTAATAATGGTTATATGCATTTTTTTAATGTAAGGTTATTGTTGTCTGCGTAGTTCCATCCAAAGTTGAACTTGAACTCTCCACTACTCTTCTCAAACTATACATAAATTTTTATGTCCTCAATTCCCCCAAAATACTAGTTTTCATAGTTTTGAGGAATATCTTCAGTTCCCTGGAGTTTGCTCAATTAGGCTTTTTGTATCTGATGCTGCTGTAGGGCTTAAGAGCAGAAACCAAATGGTAATCTTGGTTTTAGGGCTGCATTTGCATCTGTGTTAGTGCTGGTCATAGGATAATAACTGTAACATTGTCAAGTGGGAAGTGTGGCAGGTGTGTTTTTCCTTTTTTTCTTAATTTTTCTTCTTACATATGTCTGTATAACAAAGAAATCTGTGCCCTCATATTTTCATAGGGGCCTGTATTTAGCTGTGTAGAGCAATCAGAAGCAGCTTGTAGAGGTACTGCTTAGATTTGCCAGGAAAACAGAGCTATTTCCACTGCAAAAATATTTTCATAGGTCAGAGGCACTGCATGAATACAGCAAATATTTTTACAGTGAAAATAAACAAGTCTGTTAGTTTTTACCATTAACCCTTTCTTTTCTCATACTTCCCCGACACACCTCACCCCTTCAATTCTCTTTGTGTGGAATGTTTCATTTATGGCTTTATTCTGGTGATAATTTCCGTCTGTCTTTTCTTACTCCCTGTTATGGGAGCTTAATCAGTATCGATTTGCTGTTTGCACAAAATGGATGTTTTGCCATCTAAATCTTTTTTTAGTATGTAAGTAATTTTTACAAGTTAAACCTCTGACTTACAGTATGATGTTTTGTCTTTTTGTCTGTTTACTTGCTTACTCACCTCTCTAGCCCATCCTTCCCAGAGATGCCTGCCAGAAAAACCTGTTCTGAACAAACTTTCCAAGTTTATTGGTTATGATACTTCACATAGGACACACAGGCCACTGTGTGAAATGCAGTCTTAATGTGAACTCATTATAGATGTTATTCTTTTTATTCATCCTCATTATGGACACTTGGTTCAAAACCCTATACTAGCATTGTGGGCATGGGCTGGGAACATTTTAGCCTAAGCTAAGGCTTAAATGTAAACTGAAATACGACAGGTAAATATCCGCAGCTGTCTTTATAACAGTAGAGATGACATTAGTACTTAAGTTAGTGGTTTATCTGCTATGTTTGCCTATCTGCCTCTGAGCTCAGATCTCTGAATTTAGTTAATATTCATGTTTAGGGGTCAGTAAACTACAGGAAAGAAAAAGAACAGATTGTATTATGGTAGGAAGATTACAATAGATTTTTTTCACATCATACTATAAATTTTGTGAATTTACATGGCCTAAAATATTGTGGATGTATTTGTTTTTAAGAGATTGTAACTCATACCATCATACTTCAGCTTTGAATTTCACCTGGTAACTTTTCCTGTGCAGTGGCAAATTTCTAGACTGGAAGTATTGCGAGTGATTCCAGGTTACCTACATTTTTGTTGTTCTATCCAGAAAGTAATTTTTCTGTTTTATTTTTAACCATTTTTATTGCATAGTTTCCACATTTGGAAATCTGCTTTAGTTTTTGTAGTTGAAAAGTACTAGAAATGTCACTTGTAATGATGTCTAAGTTGCTGCATGAAATATAAAAAAATAAAGAAAAAAAAAAGGAAAGATTGGTTGAATAGCTGACTCGGAGTTTTTTATGGAATTCTTGCAGAAATGGATAAATAATCATGGTAAAGTATATTTAAAATGCCACAACTTATTGTAAAAATTTATGAAGATGCAGTTTTATTCTTTCCACCTGTGTCTTTTTTAGTAAATCAGAGATACAGAATTTGAAAATACTTTTTTTCCTCTTCTTATAAATCAAATGAAGCTTGTAGGCTAAAGCATCTGGTTTTAATTCTAGGTTACTAAAGAGGATTTCCAGACCTTTGATTATATACTTTGCATGGATGAGAACAATCTAAGGTAATGTATGAAGAAATTGAACAAATTCATGTGGATTACTTATAGTGATGTCTCATAAGTCACTTTGAAGACAGATGTCACATTTTACTGCTTAGCTTGTCTTGGTGTTCTTTTGTTTTGGGGTTTTTTTTCAAATGTGTATGCGAATGATATCCTATTAGGATAGATTCTTCACTTCTAATAAGTTTAATGAGCTAGAAGTCAATGGTTTATTTGTGTGATATGTGCCAATCAAGGATTAAGGATGGAAATTTAGGTACTTTGTGCTATGTACAGCTGATGCCTGTATAGTTAAGAATGAGGGTGTACTTAATGTCTTGATTGAAGTGATCTGTTTTTCTAATTGCATGGTACTTAACAGACAAACTGTGGGAACTTGGAAAGGATTAAATATGGTAACGGTTTTTTTACTTTTTTTGTAGAAATAGAATGAGCTCTGAAATAAGCAGAGTTGTTAGCTGGGGGAAATCTTGTTTTATTGTTAGCTGTGTTCTAATTAAGTGCTCTTTAGAAAGATTTGGTGAAGTAGCTGCCTAGTGTAAAAACTGGGTATCACTAACAAAATTTCTACTCAAGTATATACATATGAGTACTAAGGAGCTGAGCTTTCAAAGTGCTTGTAAGGGCTATTGTAAAGTTAGTTTAAAAAAGCCGAAACTACCACAACCAACAACAAACCCAAATGAAACCCTGTTAGTAGAACATAAAGACTTCTAGAAGCAGCACCACTTCACTGAAATAAGTATGATTTTGTTGAATTTTCTAGAGTATGCTGAATGACCTCTCTTCCAGAGTCTGCATGAACAAAGGGTATACAACACTTGACTTGACTGTGGTGTCTCAGGCAATGACGTGACTAGGCTTACTTCTATTTTCACTTGAATTCTTAAACAGAAACTTCAATTAACAATTTATATGATATGAACTATAGAGCAGAAGAAATCTCAGAACTACAACTGGGATATTGTTACTGCTACACTACAGTTTCACCTTAAACTTGCACTGAGTTCAACCATTTGTAGCACTGGCAGGGCAAGCTGATTACAGGTGTTGATGGAATGCCTCATGTCAGAAAAGGAAGATTTGGGACATCCCTTTTCTTTAGTACCAGAGCCATCTGGCCCTCTCCTGTTCACTAAGTGGTCTGTCAGAAGCCTTTAAGCAAATGGTTTGATGTTTTTTCCAATAATAAAAGGCTAGAAAATTTATTGAAAATCTGTAAATTCAAGCAATACCTTCTTGGTTGAAAGAGGAGCCCTGATTTTTCTTCAAGCAAAACCAGTATTGTGGTCTCATTGCTATTTCTAAACTATTTGAAATTAATTTATCAGAATGAGTAATTAGAAATTTAATTTCTGAACACTGATATGCTTATGACTAAGTATTCACAGGGGCTTTTTTGCCTTTGTTAATGTTAAGTAAAATGATGATTTGGTATGGAAATGTGTAATATTAAAAGAATTTAGTATGTTCTGGCAGTTCATTGTGAAAATCATAGTACTGAGCTGCCTTTACTCTGGAGATGATGAGAGGTGCATTTTAACTGCCTTTGGGATCATAGATGGCCATTTGTAAGTAGATGGGGAAAATGCCATCTCAAAAACAGAATGTTTTATCAATGAGAGGTGATGTAGAAGGAAGAGGATGTGACAACTGATAAAATGTTACAGTATATCAAAAGGAAAACAGATGTAGATCACTCATTTACCATTTTCTGTTAACTGACTGTAGTAGGACTTCACATGAGTTAGAGGTAGTATTGATAGAACTTGCAGTATACCAATTTAATCTGGCTTTGAACAGGTAGGAGATGCTTACTCATACTTCTGGAGAAATATCTGGATAATTTCCATTGGTTTTTGTTCAACACAAGCTAAGGGTAGATACTGAAGTACTAATAACTGATTTGAGGAAGAAGTTGCTGAACTTACTGTTACAAAGTTTTGTTAAGCTACAGGTTGAGTGCCTGACTGTTTATGCTCTGAATTAAGTTTATGTGTATGTCTTCCATACTCAATTAAACAAGACCCCACACAACAGGAAAGAAACAAAACCAAGCAGCAGTGTAGGGTCCAGAGGATTGAGTCCAGACGTGAGTTATTTTCCTGTGTTGTCTAGAAATGGTCATGAACGTCTTGTGTTGATGCCAAAATTCTGGCAAAAAATTCAGGGGAAAATTTTATGTTCTCTTTTACAGAGATCTGAACAGGAAAAGCAACCAAGTTAAAGACTGCAAGGCCAAAATTGAGCTACTGGGAAGTTATGATCCACAGAAACAGCTTATTATTGAAGATCCGTACTATGTATGTGTAAGAAATTCTTTGGGTGGCTTGATTAAAAATTGTGTATGTGTAGTATATAATCTTTCCAGATCCCACAGTTGGCATGTGACATATAATGTAAAGTCATACAAAGCCAAGTGTAAACGTATTTTTTTTTAATGACAAGGAAAGAATATAAATTACTGGATTAGGAAAAGATAACATGTCTTTATGCTTGCATTTATTTACATTTAAATGCAGTGTACCTATATTTTCAATACTGGTGAAACCCTGATTGATCAGCCTCCTTGCAGAGGATGTAATGAGGAAAGATAGAGACAAAGGCATGGACACAGGTAGTCAAAGAAGTTGAATAATACAAGCCAAGAGCAAACAATTAGATTAATATTCTTCAGTTTAGCAAACAGAAGTGGATAAAGATGCAGTAGGGTTCTATAAAATCTTGATATAATGGGAAAAACTAAATAAGGAATTTTTCTTCATTACCCAGAAAGTAGAGAATATGAAATGGTTTTAATGGGGGAAGCGGATTCAAAACAAAAAGAGTTTTGTTTTGTTTTCCTTTTCTGCACAGTGCTTCATTAAACTGTGAAACTCAACTAGACAGGTTAGTGTGAATGTAAAGAAAAAGGGAAAAAATTTATAAGGGCTAAAAAAGTGAATAGAAAAAAATGTGTGAAGAAAATATGTGAAGGAAAGTCATCTGGGACTGTTGAATACAAAGTCACAGTGTTTGTGGAAATCCTTGAGTTCAAATTAGAGAGACATATGCAAAAACTATCACCATGTATTTGCACCATTTTTATTCTTTCCTTGTGTCTGTTATTTGGCATTAATGACAATGGAGAAACCAGTATGCAATTTTTATTTTTTTTTAGTTAGTATTGTTATTCTTACGGTCTTTTTTCTCTCTTCTTTTCTAGGGGAATGAAAAGGACTTTGAAACTGTTTACGAGCAGTGTCTTAGATGTTGTAAAGCATTTTTGGAGAAACCTCATTAATGCTTCATCATTTAATTTCTAAAAGAAAATAATTAGCTTTTCCTGAAATATGTAAAGTTTACTTGATTGATACATTTAAATTGTAAAATTATGCCTCTGTGTTCAATACTTATTCAGTTGAATTTTGTATTTTAGCTTTTCTGTCATCTAATGAAAAAATATAGAAAGGTTTTAATTGGATTACACGATCAACCATTTTGTCACTCATCAGTGTAGTAATAAAGTATATAATTCAGGATTAATTTATCTGTAAACTCTTCAGTGCTTTCTCACAAGCACTGCAAAAGTAACATCTTGCTTCTTTATGTGCTGTATTAACTAAACTGAGGTCTTGTCATTGTGTCCTTAGTGAGTTAATTTCAGTCAGCTTTCAGTGGGAATCTGAGATAATGGTTGATGTGTAACTTGGATGTGTCAGTATCATGAGGCAGCCTTTGAATGGAAGGTGTTTCACAGGAAGCCTTCTAGACTCAAAGAACTGCTGCCTGACAGACATTGCTCTTAGCACTATTTGAAAGCTTAAGCAAACAAAACCTTCTTGTGTGTCATCAGGATGCAGCAAAAATAGCTTTTTCTGTCAGTTTAAATCCTTAGTTATTCAAAGAAGAAATAATTTTTGTTCCAGTTCACTTTTATACTGTTGAAGATGAACAAAGTTCAGAAACTGATTAGGACTTCTGGTCTTCCTTTGTTCTTCTGGGTGATTCGTAGCACACTGACACAAGTACATGAAACATAGCATTTACTTTGATGACAAAACGTATCAGCTTAAAAGCTGAAATGTGAAATCACATTTTGTATCTTATAGTAGTAACATACTCAAATCCATGCAATATAATAGATGAGAAATTTGCTATAATTCCAGTTCCTACATGAGGGTCAGACAGTATTTACAGATTTACTCAGGAGAGTGGACAGCCTGTCAGAAGTGTTCTCTGAGAGCATAGTTCAACCCAAACGGAGTTCATCTGTACTACAGTACAAAGTAAACCAAAGGCCAGTAAGTAGATAGTTCTGCTCTTGGACAAATTGCTTTGTAAAAATCTGTACCTGCTTGTCTGAACATCACCTTTCTTGTCTGCCTTAGAAATGTAAATGCACTGAGATCAGTAATGTAACTGGTACCATGATGATTTTTCCTATTTTGACTAGTATCAGCATTGGTATGGACTAGCATTACCACATTATCTGTAAAACTGGGTCTATAAAATTTGGTTTCATATTTATTTAGCCTTTTTTTTGTGTCTCTTCCTGCCTTCCAAAGTAGTAGTCTCTGTATTTGTAACCTACTTTATCTTCTGGGGGAGAGATGTATTTCAATAGAGGATACTGTTACTCCTGGGGAAGTTGGAATCCTGGTGTCACTCTGTGTGTGTTGAAGCCTTCACGATAGGAATTAAATTTCTTGGGACTTTTGCTGTAGAACAGCTATTTTGTGTTACGGAGGTTTCTGTTTTCTGCTAAAATTTCAGTCACACCTATAACTTAAGAACCTGCTTACAAAAAGGCAGGTGGTACAGGGAACGCTTAAACACAGAAATCAGAATCTTGTGCATTATTGCATTACCAGTAGTTTTGACTTCTAAAAAACAAGCTAGAAATTTGCAAGTTAACAGCTGTTTCACTTCAGGGACAAAGAATAATACAATATTTCAGGTCCAACTAAGCACTGACTCTGGAAAAATTATTGTCCTTTGCTTTTATGCATGCTTTTACAAAGTAAATGGGGAAAAATGATGGGCAGTAGGGACAAACCCTCTTAAATGTGGTTTTATGCATTAACCTCAAAGGTGGAAGTGTTTAGGCATAATCTAATGTTATTCTCTGCCTGAATGATCATTTCAAAGATTCCAGTGAAATTAAAATAACTCACAAGATTTAGAACGTGATGACTTGTACTTTCCCATTCATGGCTGTGAAGGAATTCAACAGTTTCCTACGTATTAAAGCTAAGATTTAAAGGTCTTAAATCTTTATCTTTGAGCTGCTGGGGTAACAGAAAGGACATAAAAGGATATGGTTGTTTACCTTTACTAGGCTTAGCAATCTTCCTGTAAAGTGATACAAACTATTTGTGTTAAATTCAGTTCAGATTTAAAAGTTTCACCCTTGAGATACATATTCAGCAAGTAATCTGTTGGCTAAATAATTCACTAAGTGTACTAGGAGGAGTAAGGTAATAGATTGATTTTTATCATTAGTAGTTTTCTTTCTGGAAGAGGGGAAGGAGATGACCATGGTATTATATACAAATTTGTAGAAGCCAAGAATAGAGAACTGGAATTGCCTTCAGGAGGGACAGTTGCACGGTACAGTTTGTTCAGTGGAACCACAGTGAAGCACAGAGTTCCACCGACATGTTTACTGCAGGTGAGCAGCTGAGTGAATCCTGTAGAAGTAGATTCCTTAAACTACCATGTTTCCTGTAGCCATATATTGCATCCATTGAGAGATGAAACTTTAACATTTAGTGTTCACTGAAAGCAAATAAAAACTTGTAATTCTCTCCTGCTAAACACAGCCACGTTCTTGCATGGGATTTTGTACTTCTGCCATTTTCTCTTTTCTTCTAAAGAGCTGGATGCTGAAGGCTCTTCAGTGTCCATTTCAAGAATCTCAGCTCCTTGAGTTTTCAGGGTGGGGAGGTATGTTAGTTTCAGTTTTACATTCTGTGGTTCAAATTGAGGATAGAAAGAAAACTAAATGCCAGTATAAGTTAAAAGTACACGTGGTTCATCTACAGATTGCACATAAAAAATTTCTTCCTGTTTGAGCCATTTTATTTTGTCAACTGAATTTAATATCTGATTTAAGGAAGAAAGGGAAATGTGTTTCAAGGCTTCTCGAGTAAGTGTTCACTGACTTCTTAAAAATTCTACAATAGTAAAATGATTTACTGGACATTTGCTGATTATATTGCCTTGCTGTATCATGAATAAGACTGCAGATTATTAAAAAAACCCCAACAACAATAACCCACAAAACCAAACAAAACCCCACAACCAAACATGAACAAAAAGCCCCCCCCCAAACCAAACCCCAAACAAAGAAAAAATCCTAAAACAACTGTTATTCATAAAAAACATTCCATCTTATAATGCTGGAGAGAATTGGAGCAGCCTTGTGGGCTCGGAAGACACACAGAGAGTGTCCAGATTACTGAACTTCTCTGAGGTGGATATAACTTTCCTTCTTACGCTAGTGAGCTCTTAATGGAAAGAGGTTTAAGTGTGAATAAATGACAGTAGCTACCAGAGGGTAGCTTGTTTACCTAGATTCAATGAACAGAAAGCAAACTGAGAACAACTTAATACCAAACACTTTATTACTTACGCTTGTTATTTACAGTATTTACATATTGCACGTTCGCTGGAATGTTTTATACATTTATTATATAAAGTAAATTAATGGCAGCTTGTGTTTGTGTACAAAATCCATGCTCCACTGTCCCAAAAAGTATGTCTACTTGGAATTACGTTCCTGTTTGTCATGCAGTTTGTACTCCCAGGGTACAATGTGACCCCAATGCAAGTCTGTTTTAACCAAACTTTTAAAAAAATTGCATAAGCATGAAGGGTGTCAAGTGACCACAACTACCGTGGAGCAGATCTTTAGTAGTTCTAGATATACAAACAAACATTCCTTAAAATTTTAGAATTAAGCAATAGAACATCAATTTTCTTGGTGAAATATTTGTGTTTACATAATTTTTGGCAGCATTACACATCAATTGTAAAGTGTGTTTTTAAGTACGGAGCATTAAGTACTACTGGCAGTTATGCTACTGTAAAGAATGTCAATCTGCAAACTTGATGGCATACAAAATGCATGTTAAAAGAATTATGGGAAGTAGTCTGTCAATCTGCAAAAATAAATCTCTTGTTCACAATGGAATTTGCTAAAAGGTAGTAAGTTCTATTTCCCTGTTGGTTTCCAAGGCACTTCTCTTGGTTCTTGGTGGTTCTTGTCATGGTAATAACATCTGGTGGATTAAAAGAAAGAAGAAAATTGCCTTTCACTATTTTTATATTCACATAGATGCGTTTCAAAATGTGTTTATCATGCTGAAAATAATAAATAAAACTGGAGAATTCCATAATAACTTTTGAAAGATCCAGTAGCGCATTTCTGATTTAGCTCAGTTTGTATCAGCCTGACTGTTAAATTAATGCTTTGTTAATCGAGGCGGAAATTTTGGAAAGCGTCCCTTTTTGTGGTGTTTCATTTTAGGTAGACAGATTAGGAAAATCGTTCTACCTTTCAAAAAGTGCTCATAGTTAAGTCTGGCCTGTTCTAATGACTGCAGCTGTGAAGTCAAAAATTGAATAAACCTCAGGAATAGCATTAACAGATTGCAAAATTCTGTCTAGATGCCTTGGTGTCAGTCAGTTGTTGCTAGGATCTCGGAAGGATTTGATGTATCATTGGGCCCATTTGTGAAGAAACTTGGAATCATATAAACAAGAAACAAATAGAAGTAACTTTCCGAGATTTGGTCATATAAATGACCAATAGCTCCTGGAACATGCAAACACTGAGGCAGCACAAACTGAGCAGGAGCTGCACTGGTTCAATTTGCTGGTGGTTCTAGTAACTCTTCCCAGAATAGTTTCTTAGAATGAAATCAAAACCATTTCTATGATCCTGATATCAAAATCACTGATACAAAATGACAGGTTTCCACATTGCATATGTATGTATATTGTCTATACTCTAGAAATGTTGATTCAGAGGTTGAGCAGTGAAGGTTTTCAGACCCCTGTTCCCCCACATCTTTAAACCATGCTAAGAAAATGTTGTGTAACTGAGTATACATATCTAGAAGTCCATCCTCTCTCCAGTAACTTCTGAGTTTGTTTTCTGCAACCAGATTTTCTAGATGGATGACCACTGAATGCTACAAGTCTGTCCACCCAGTTTCATGTCCTTCTAAGCCTGTTATTGTTCTTTTTTAGAAGTAAAAAATGTATGATGTCTTTTTAATCTACACAGTCAAAAGCCATTGCTCTTACATGCAAACAGATTCAGTTGAAGCTTGTGTGTCTCACAGCTGTCAAAAGTCCTTGTGGGAGATAAAAACCAGTGGTACTCTGATGCTAGAGTTCTGCTGATGACACTTTTCACAGTTAAAGCTTTCATACTGTCTGTCTGAACGTAGGTAACTCTCCTTCCCTTGATCAGTGCGAAGTCTCTGATACTCTGAGTTTCTCTACATATTCTACTGCTTAAGTATAATTTATAATAGAATCATTTGGATGCAAAGTCAGTTGGACTTGACATAATCCATTGGAAATCAAGCTATTGGTGCATACAGAAATACTTGTTAGTAGTATTTAAACATTTAGTTTTGCAATTTTTGAAAGCTGTTAGGAAATGTAATAATGTTACAGAACAGCTTAATGTAATTTATGGGTTTTCTCTGGCTTTGCAGATAGGACAATGACTTTTTTTTTTCCCATCAGTGGAAGCTGATGTAAATTTTTCTTGTCTTGCACTGTCATCTAGCTTATTTTCCGTATGTATGGTCCTCCTGTACCCTATTTAGGCTGTGATGTTTAAAAGTGATGTTTAAAAGAAATTAACATGCTTTTGGTTTGATCAGTGTGTGGTACAACTGACAAGTTAAACACTGAAAATGTAATAATTTTTTCATTACTAGTGGGAATATGCAGCTCACTGAGGGTGAAAAACACTGGATAGGATGCTTATACAGACTTGCTTTTGTATGGGTATCTGATCAAAAGCTCTGGATCTTAGATTCCCAGTGCTCAGGTCACTTACAGTTTTCTAAACCCCTGGCATTTTCAGAGACCCTTGAAAAGGCCTCAGATTTTTAGCATTGATAAATCTACTGTACTTTCTTTTAAATTTTTATTTCACATCATATGGATCAGTCTAGGAAAATTAGACTGGAATTTAGCTGAAGAGTGATAGGTAGTCTTAGTGGAGTTCCTAACACGATTTGACTACAGCCTCTGTTGAGAACATAGGTAACAATTCCTTTCCCCTCTTTAACTCAATTTTTAGTTCTCCTTTGCTAATGCAAGGAAAAATAAACACAAAAGCCCCCAACCAAACCAACCAACCAAACCATGCAATTGTTCCAATTTTTAAAAGCACAAATGAAAGCTAGTGTAAAGGCATATTACAGCTTTCCAGATTTGTTTCTGGTTATTATCTGTGCATGATTATAAACTCTGTAAGAAAAAGCTAATCTGTATGAGAAGAGTTTAGTGGTTTAAAGATCAATACAAATCTTAAAATACTGTGCCAGTAGGATTTTGTAGCAGAACTTCCATGTGCTTACATCAAAAAATTCTTTCCCGAAGTGTGCACACCCAGGTGGAAGTCTGTGATGTAATCAGAGAGATCCATGCACTGAAGACGATAAAGCTTCTAATGTTCCATCTGGTGTTAGCCACAGACATCCCACAGTAAGCAAAACTACAAATTGCTGCTTAATAAAGTTGGACTATGCCACACTAGTAACTTACACTGGCTGCCTATTTAATGCAAAGCAGTAGTTCTGATAAAAGTCTTCAGTTAGTTACCTTGGAAACTACTTCCTGGCGCCAGACACAGAGGTGACTGAACATGCCCTGAGAAGTTGTATGTGATGGATCAAGCTGTACATTCTAGAAAAAGAGGGTCTGCCTTCACTGAATAATACGCAACTCCCTCATCTTAATTTCGCCTTCACTTCTATGAAAGCGTGTTACATTTCTTGAATGCACTCGATGTTACTCTGAATAAGAAACAGTGTAAGAGAGAAAGCAATCTGTTGTTTCCATTGTAACAAAACACTTGAAGCCAAATTTAAGTACCCAAATGCTAACTTGGTTTAAGAACAGTTTGAAAAATGGTGTATAGGAATGGGATATTCAGTGGGGTACTCTAGTTTTCATGTATATGAAGTTTCTAACTTTAACTTGTATTTTCAGCATTTTTCATATACGTTACTAGTATGGACAATACATCTTGAGGAGTTTACACAGATTTTTCTGAGTTCCAAAGGAAATTTCAGTTATCAGTGGGCTTTAGCTTATTAGGAATTTTATAAAGAATGTTAGACCTTCGTATGTACAAATATTAATTTTTTGTATCTGCTTCTTAAGGAAGGAAGCAACTAATAGATTTTTTCATACCCTTTTTATAGTATATAAAACCTCACTTTCTCTGCTTAGCCCAAGATTCCTACTACTTACACCAGTCTTGTATTTATTAGTGCAAAAGTGTTTGTCATTAGTTTTACTTTGTTTATTTGAAATAACTGTAGATGCTTTAAAAAAGGTAAAAAACCCCATAAAACTTGTCCGTATAGAAATTAGAAGAAATCTTCAAAACAGAAGGATGTAATAATATGTGATTAATGCAGTCTTTAGTTTTTGAACTAGTAGTCACGGTACAAGGAGGTTTTCAACATATATTATGAGATCAGTATTGGGCTCTAGCAAACACTTAAAGAACAGCTAATGGAAAAGGGAGGGCACCAACAGTAACACCTGCAGTTTTCAAACAAAAGCAGTAAAATCTGTATGACTGTAGCCAAAGTGGCTGTGACAGATGCTGTCAAAGGGGACAGATTTTCAGAGTCATCGCCGTCTGTCACAGGAAATACTCAAGATCTGAACTGGGAACTTTATTTAGGTGAAGACTTCAGGAATTTAGTTCCTGACATTTCTTACCTACTGCAGATATGGACAACATTACAGTTGTGGGATGTATCTGCATAGGGTGGAACAAAGCAACCATGGAATATGGGAAATCCTAGGAAGCTGACTGAAGAACAGAACAAAAAACAGCATCAAGGACAGGACTTAGCATAGCTGTGTTGACCACAAGAAGAGGTTACAGAATAAAATTAATCAGAAATGATGCTGGTGGCAGCCAAGGAATATGACCTGGGTTGCTGATTGGAAAAAAAAAAAAGGACTACTGAGTGACGTGGTGATATAAATCTGTTGCTCTGGCTTCACTCATGCAATCTCAACAATTTGAAGGGCTGTTACTGGGTCCCTGCATTGTTCCTATCTGTGGGACAGGCAGAATGGGAACGTACACTAAAAAACAAGAGAAGATGGAGCCCAGTTACATACGTGTAGGGTAAATGAGAAAAAGTGAAGGCTCCATAAGACATGTTGTACTACAAACACACACATGGGCCCACTCAGGTATGTGTTGTGACAGTCACAGATGTCCAATTCCTGTTTTCACATCTTATTTTCTTGTTTGATCTTAGCTCAGAGTTTCAATGTCTTGTGTGCTTTAAAGCTGTGATAGTCCAAAATGCATGTAGTGTAGAAAGGAAAACAAATCTATTTTTTTTTTTCCTTTAACTTGATCTCTAAACATGGATAGATGTCCAGAGATCTGAAAAATCCACCAAAACTACCAATTTGCCAGGGTAATAGTCCATCTGTAGCCCAGCCCACTTAAAAGCCTCCAATGAAATGAAAATCAGATAATGAGCAAAACAGGAAACCTAATTTGCTTCACACAAATTGAACTGATGCAGTAGAAAAGCTTTGAGGAGAAAAGATGATTAATCTTATGGAGACATTTACGAATCTCAAAGCATATGTGGTAGAGAATAGTCTGTCTTTCTACTAACAGAGGTTGCTTAACAATTCTACCACTACTGATCTGTGTCTGTGTGGAGAATAACAGAAGTGGAGTTGCTATTGACATTGCAACATGCCTGTTAGTTGAGCAAAGGTGTTTTTTGAGAGATGGACAATTTTAAATAGACTCCTAGCTTGAGATGTGAATTCCTTTAGTTCCTGTTCCTTCATATTACAAGTTTATGTTTACATGACAGGATGTTAAGATACAGATAAAACTTTCTAAAGAAAGGGAGAAAAGAATTTCCTACTCTGATGTATCCGCTTATTGGTAATAATACTGACCTATTTGCAAAGTTAAACAAATTATATCTCGTTTAGCCACACTGGATAGAGAGGATGGCTAGTAGCAACCTTTTATGAAATGGAATAGTTCCATGATGTTTTCCTGCAGTCATCTCTTCTTTAGACTAAATAATCCCAATTCCTTTAACTGTTCTCTTAAACTTTTTCTAGGCCTTTGGTAATCCACACTGCTCTT